TCTGGTTGTTCTTGTAACAGTATCATAGTGATTCAATTATGGTTTAAGGGCAGAAATGTTGCTCTAGAACACTACCTGTAAATGGGTATAAAAGGTGGCTGATATGGTATTATATTAGCAGCAAAGTACTGGGGACAACCTTACAGTGATTTGACAAAATGCAATATATTCATAATATATAATATCCAAAGTACTGACTGGGGACAACCTTACAGTGATTTGACAAAATGCAATATATTCATAATATATAATATCACCTTAACTAAAAGAAGGTCACTGTGAAAGAAACACCATGAAAGAAGTTAGAGATCTATGAATGGACAAATGCTATTTGTTAAATAAATATAGGTAGTTATGAAATAGTTATCTATACTGACACTAGTTTGTGCAAGGGAAATCATAAAACACTCATATGCCTATCTATACACACTTTAGACAAGTTTGTAATTAGGTCACCTAGAAGGAAATGAAGAAATCTGCTAAGTTATTAACCTTAGGGAGAAGTAGGGTTAGTGAGTAAACAAAAAAGAAAACAAAAAACACCCCTGAGCCATACATATTCTTCATGATTCTGTGATGTGCCCATCCATGGATTTTACATGTGCTTTCATTTCATTACCCCTGTAGACTGTATGCTTCATAGGCATACTACTCAGATAGTTCCCAAAGGTCCAAGTCAAGATCCTTTTCCTTTTTTGAGACCGTCCCTAGTTCAGATCTCTCTGGCCCTTGCTTTGTCAGTTCCTATTGATCCACTTTCAGCCCTCAATCATCCTCTAAATTGCTTCTCTTCTACCAGGGAAGGGCTCTCCGCAGAAACCTTTTACAAAGGAGAAAAAAAATTAAGGAAATTATATAACTCCTTTAAAAAAATGTAGCTGTGAAGACATGGAGACACACCCCTTCTTTTCACTGCTTCATGCAAGGAGACTCCAAAGGCAGTTTTGTGTATATGTGTCACAAACACGTGTAGTTAACAACTCCAACAATTTGTTGGCACAAGCCTTTAGTTAACTGTACAATGGGACCACAGCAATTACATTTTTCATCTCTTGGTCTCTGGATAAAAATCAGGCATACACCAACTTTCTCATTTGGATCTTGAAACATTTCTTATTCTTAAAAAAAATTCTTTTTGAGAAAGTGTCTCATGTGTCCCAGGCTAGACTGAAACTAAGCTGAGGATGACCTTGAGCTGTGAGCTTCCTGCCTCCACCCACAAATGCTCACACTGCAGGCCTGTGCATCCACATCTGGCTTGTGTAGAGTTGGGGAATCAAGCCTGGAACCTCATCCATGCTAGAGAAGCACTCCGCCCACTGAGCTACACTCCCAGCCCCGTGGATTACTTTGAGTCTAAACAAAAGAAGAAAATGATATAAAAAATGGTTAGCTGCTAGAAATGGTAGCTAAAATTATAGTTCCTGGAAATTAACTCAAAAGGAAATGTACTTAAAACTTTGATCAGATAATCCAGAAGTCTTAAATTTCAGAATTCAGTTCTAGTAGTTAATTGCTGTTTCTGGAAAAGGAGAAGCCAAAAATATTAATTTAAAAATTTCCAAGAAAAATGTATTTACCATTTTGCAAAAATGTGTTTATGTGTGTAGGTATAACATGTTTCATGACTACTAAAGCCAGAAGTATTATTCCAGCAAATATTTTTATAAGGACATTTTGAAACAAAGGAAGTTTCTTGCTCAGGATTACATAGTAAGTGGCAGAGCCGGCAATAAAATTCATCAAGTACACATTTGCTCTTGAGAAAAATATTTGAATCTGTGACACCATTACAGAGCACCAATTTTCAGAATTTTTTAAATTAAGAGATAGATTACATAGGCCTATATTGTTTATCTAATGTGCATCCTTCTCCTTTCAGAATTTAGAGCACTTTTTCAAATGGGAGCTTATTAATCTTAAAAAATATTCCTAGACATTTAGGAAGGTTATGTGATATTATTTTGTCTGGGAACTGAGGCCAGAAGGAAGGCACTTACCCTGTATTCTGCAAACAGGAATGGTTCTGCAACCAGGGTCAGATCTCCTGATCCTTATTGTACAGCTAACTTAGCTTTGCTGATGACCTAGAAGGTCAAACAAAGAGATGGAAAAGGACATAAAAAGATATGAGATGGTGATTTTCTTTTCCATCAGTCAATGAAATTTTATCTCACACAAAGGACATCAAAGCTGTTAATGTACAATTTTTATTTTCCTGTGGTTATATTTTCAAATGTACTTCATTATTTGTTTATCAATTTTTGAAAAAAAGGATTAATTTCTCTTAAGGACAATGTGAAATAAATAAAACTGTAAAGGGACACCATCACAAACCGATGCGAATCCATCATCCAGCTCCAACAATTACCAACTGAAGGCCATCTTGTTTCATCTGTAACCCCACCCACTGCTCCCCCCCACTTTTTTGAAGCTACCGAAAAAAATGACTTAAGAATTATGAAAAATTTCAAATATATACGAAGGCTAAAAGATGAATACAGAAAACCCCATCCGCCTACCTCTCAGCTTAAAACGATTATTAATCTAGGGTCCCAATTATACCCCTCCCATCTCTCTCTACCGCTGAAATTATTCTGAAACAAATCCTAGTCATCCACGTATTTTGAAGCCATTTTCAGACAGTATTCAATCCCTACGCAAATAGATACATATATATTTCTACAAAATAAAGCTATCTGAAAACATAACCACAGAGCTACCGTAAATGTCTAAAAAACCTGACACCGATTTCATTAAGGAATATTAAATTCCTCATTAAAAATTCTCGATGCGTCTTAAAGAAAATTTTACGATTGGTGTGCTCGAATCAGGATTCAAACAAGGCCTACTCATCGCATGTGCTTCATATCTAGCTTGTTCTCATTCTCCTTCTTCCCCACCTCCTTTCTCTTTTTTTTGACTTTAATGTGGGAAAAATCCAATCCCCAGCTATTCTGAAGCAATTCTCGGCTAGCAAATTAATTTATCGGTAAGGCTTAATATATGCTTATTATCACAATTTCTTCTGAGGAAGAGAATGATGTGCAGAAAAATATACTATATCGAGCGAATCTGCGTAATTTATAATTTTCTTCTGCTACGCAAATACCTATCTTTAATAACAATTTCTAATATCATCCGGAGACAGACTTCACATTGAATACCTTACACGCACTATTACTGTGCACATTTGAGTCCACGTCTCAGAGCTGGGTACTATTATCACCGTTTTACAAACATGGAAACCGAGACACAGAAAGGAGCCTTGCCCAAGTTGGGCGTTGGCGAGTCGGGATATGAATCCCGCTTTGCCTGAATGTGAAGCCACTAGCTAATCCTGTCTAGAGACAAGAAGAAAAGAGGAAATCATCGACCCTTCCTCCCCACCCCCACCCCGAAACCTGAAACGAGAATCCAGTTCTTTCCAGCAGCCGACGTGTGATCACTGCTGCTCCTCCAACCGCCATAGTAAAGCCAGGTTTCTCTGGCAACTGATATCCATAGGCAGACACGTCACCCAGAGGGCGGGCTTAGCCTTTCAGCCAATCATAGTCGTCTTGTCTCAGTTTTAGAATGTTCTATAACCAAATGATTGGATCAAGGCTCCCACGTCAGCAGTGACACTTCGCCGCAGTAAAGGCGGGTGCTAGCAACCTGCTTCTTCATGGTTAGGGCCCAAATCAAACCAATCACCGTCCTTCTTCAGTGCGGATTCCGGCCAATGACAATCGCCCTTTTAGGCTCTGAGCCCGCCCTCCAAATGCGCTACAGCCGTTGGGTCATAAGTCTATAGGGCAGCTTGTTCACGTGGCCTATTTTCACGACCCAGAGTTCCCCTGACCGTGGGTTTTTTTTTTACCCCCACCTCCTTTCCCTCGCTCTCTTCTTCTCCTGCAGGGAGGCATTATGGGTTTGTGGGTCCCTTCCCCTCCCCCGCCCCCGCACCACTGGGAAAGGAAGTGTCTACGTGGCTTGCGGAAATAGGATAGGCGGAAATGAGCTAAGGTTCCCGCGAGTGGGAAGAGCGAGGTCAAACCTAGGGCCACGCCCCCGAGCCTGTTGCGCAACTCTCGGAACGGGAGAAAAAAAAGGAGTAACGAAGGTTTTGATGTGTGTGTGTGTGAGGGTGGTGAGTGGCCCGGGCGGATGGCGTGGGCACCGGGGTGTGTGTGCGCGGACAGGCTCGCGTGGCCGCCGAGTGTGCTTGTGGGCGCCCACCAGCCCTCGTGGCGCCGGAGCTGATGGGTGTGTGTGCGCAGGCGTGCACTCCTGGCGGTGGCGGGAGGGGCCCTGACTGTGTGTGTAGGTGAGATGCTTTATATTGGTGGATTGCTGTTTTTTTTCCTAATGTTTGCAAACTGCTTTAATGGAAAGGAAAATAATTAAGGCAAAATTACTAGTAACAGAAGGAAAGGGCTTTTCTTAGAAAAGGCCTGCCAATTTAATTTATTTACTTTTTTTTTGCTGTTGTTTGAGACCTGGTCTCGCTATATAATCTTAGCTGGCCTGGAACTCATAGAGATCCACCTGTCTCTTCTTCCCGAGAACTGGGATTAAAGGCATGCGCCACTGCACTCAGTCTGATTTAATTTTAGACCATATAGATGCTCTTTATTCTCACATTTTAGCCCACCAAAATAAACGCCCATGGTTCAGATTCAAAACTGTGTTAGTAAAATGGCGCTTCCAAGTATATTCCCCACCTGTCCATCACCCGAGACCTTCCCTTTGACCCGCACCAATTTTACTGCATAATTGGCAGAAATACTAAGAACATACAGAATTAAATCCCCTTATAGTAGAGACCCCTCCAAGTTTTTGTGGGTTCTAAGCTTCACCTACCTTTTGGCCTAGTCTCCATGCATACTGATCCTCAGGCAAATATGCATTCCGGTCAATTTTCCAGAAAGTTCACTGGGTGAGGCTTATACCTCTTGAATCTGCCACTAGATGTCACCAAATCCCAGCAGAGGATTTGCTGTTGGGAGATTTATTATTTCTTGCCCCACCCACTTCTTAATTGATGAACTCAATAATCTCTGACTGTCTCATATATGTCTTAAATTCCCAGAGAACAATAAAATCAACGCTAGTCAGGGAATTATATATCCAAATATTTTTGTTAATTTCTTTTCTTAAAAAGAAAAAAGTCATGTGTTCTTCCAGATTTTCTTTCTCCCTTGTGCTATTTTTTTCCTCGGAGTTAATAAATGAGCCTAAATGCTGATGCTAAAATCCTCTGTGGGGTGTGGTAGTGCATCTGCAATATCAGCACCCAGGAGGCAGAAGGACCCCAAGCTGAAGACCAGTTTAGATTATTTGTTGAGATCCCGTCTCTACAATAAAAAAGCAATGAAAGAATATCCTTTTTTGCTTTTTGGCCCACTTTATTTTCAAATACTTACAGTTCCTCCAAATGCTAATTGTATACGACTATAGTCAGTCTGTAAAGTTAACTCAGAGGTAAAGTTAGACCTCAGGATTAAACATTATCGTCCTTTCCCCTTGAAATTTTTGGCAGGTATGTGTGTTTGCACCCTAATTTTATGTGATAGTTCTGTTTTGTGAGCAAGAAGGTAAGTATGTGTAGTTGGTATAAAAAAGTTATATTTCATTATGCCGAGGGTCATCACACAAGAATCACACTCTTAAATTTCTTACTACAATCCTAAGCCTATCTCCCTAAGGTTGCTCGCCTGTTCAACGTATCATTGAAGATCAGTGAAGTCTCTAACAAAAGTCTCTGATTAGAGGGTCAGGATCCTGGGGGAGACTCACCAGCCGCAGGGTAGATGAAGGTAGCGTCTCTCCAGGTGCACAGAGGACGAACAAGCTCCTGGTCTCCACTTATATAGTGGCTAGAGCGTCATAGGATTCTAGGACTGTGTCTGGTTATCTTGAGTGAGTGATGTCACTGGGTTCTGGTTATCAGATACAGCCTCGGGTGTAGTGGAGTTCCTGACTAAGCTGTTTTTACACGTCTAAAAGGCATTTTTTAAAACTATGATCATTCTCATTGCATTTTGTATAACTTGTATCTTTAGAGTCAGATAGTAAATAGTGAAGCATATTTCACACTTTCTTGCCCTGTGTTTTAGGGCAAATGATGATGCAGCCCTGATTTTTTATTTCTGTGTGTAAACACATGTGTGCAGGAGTGCTTGCCTGTGCGTGTTGAGGCTAAAGGTCAGCTTCACTTTAGGTCTCTTCCTCTATTTCTGTTCACCTTATATTTTGAGGCAGGGTCACTCAGTGAACTTGGAGTATTCTATATGGGCTATACTGCCTTGTCAGGGAGTTCCTGGGATCTGCCTTTCCCTACCAATAGTCCCCCTTAAAACACTGGGGTTACAGATACAAGGCCCATGTTTATATAGGTTTATATAGGTTCTAGGGAACTAAACTTAGGTCATCATTCTTGAGCAGCAGACACTTCCCAGCCAGACCCTCATTTTTTAAATGTTTTCTGTATTTTAGATGTTACATTAAATACTTTTTTTCTTAACAAAATTGTACACCATAATCAACCAACAAATACCTGTTCCAGTTATCAATGATATCTATTTGTGCTCATATGAGTGAAGGCTTTTTTAGATCTTAGTTTCATTGCTTTTATATCTGTGTAGGTGTATATATCTGCATGCGGGTACGTGATATGAATTCAGAGTTCAGAGGCATTGGATCTCTTGGAGCTGGAATTATAGACTGTTCTGAGACATCTGACATGGATGCTGGGAACCTAACTTGTGTCCTCCAGAAGAGCAGCAAGTGGTCTTAATTGCTGAATCATCTTTCCAGCCACAATGGTGAAGTTTCTAGAACAGTTTAGAACTCTATTTCTCAGGCAAATCAGAAGCATCAGCATCACCTGGTAAGTTATCAGAAAATCAGATTCTTAGACCCTACCTCAAATGTCGTAAATCAAAGGTTCTCTGGATGGAGTTTGGGAATCCATGCCAATACAAATTGTTCTAGTGAATCCAGTGCTCTCTAAAGTTTGGGAACCACTGCTTTGGAGGGCAAAAATACAACACTTGATTTTGTACACCACTAGAGGGTGCCATAGAATGTAAAGCAAAATGAAAAGGGCTTACATGTTCTGGGTTACCCTGCATAGTATCAGTCTCATTTTGCACATTAAGGAAATGTGTATAAGTGTCACCATAAGTGTCTATCTGTCAGAGTCTGAAAGAATCTTTACATTACAGATGGCTCTCTGTTTTGATTAATGTTGACTGAACCATTAAGAAAATAGTAGGAGAGCAAACCAAGTATGTGGAAATAGCTTAATGGTTTTCATATCTTTCTTCCTCTCCCTTCTGTAATAGGGTATAACACAAAAGCCTAGGAGTGGCCTCCTTGTTATTTTTTTCTCAGTGCTCTTTTAATTCTGTAGTTATCCGTTTCAGCTTGTGTCATAATATTTTATGTGTAATAAAGGCCTGAGGGTGGTGAGTAAAACAGATTTGAAAATCCATTATGGGTCACTCACTCTATTTTACACATAAATCCCAATAAGCTTATAACTTAGGTGAAACTTAATATAATTTTCTAGTGATGGAAGTGAGTTCTGGTGTCCAATTACTTTACAAGTGATAAAATCTGAATATTCCTGGCATTTCTGACTCTAGTATCCAATTAAGCTTTCTAGTTCTCTGGTTTAGTTTCTACTTAAGTGATTTTTCTTCCTTTTTATTTGTGAGCCATTGATACTTTTTGACCCAATGAAAATGTAGAGAAGTCTCTCTCATGTATTTTGGCCAAGTTTTATCTGACACCAGAATGCACTCTCCAGGTCCCCTCTTCAAAGGCACTCCAATGGCAGGATTTTGACTCATTCAAGCACTTTTAGAACCAATTCAAGGAATCTGACGTTGAATGAGGCTGACCAAGTATTATGACACACTGCTTTGGGGTGCTTTGTAGAATAACAGTATGTTCAAGGCCATAAGTGGTTCAGATTTCAAAGTTATTCAAATTTGAGTAATTCTTAAAACAAGTTCTCTTAGATTTTATAAACTTCAGTGTCATACCACCTATGTATGAGATGGGAACAAACATTTTGATTTCATGATCTTAGAGCCACTGTTATAATACAGTATCCAAATAGCACATGTGACTATTTAAGTCAAAATTCATTAGACTAAAAAAAATCGATTCAGTGGTTGTTCTGGCTATACTTCAAAGGTAGCTACATACTGTTACTAGCTGTTGTCTAAATTCAGATCTAGATCATTTCTAGCATCACAGAATGTTCTGCTGGACAGTGCTGATTTAGATGATAGAAGGTATAGAAAAGAGTCTAGGATAGTGCATGTCTCATGATAGATGCCCCCAAAAGGTGTTTTTTTTTCCTTCTTTTCTCAAGATCAGAGCTGGGGTGCTCCATTTTATTGATAGCATTGGGAGAGGGAAGCAAGTTACCTGAGGTGCTTTAACAAGGGCTATATCTGGCACTGGAACATGTATTTCTGACTGTTGCTACAGTTTTCTAATAGGACTGTCCTTGTACTTTCCTGGGTAGGGTTGCAAAAGCAAGATCATGAATAATCAGAAATAGTTTTAGAATCAGAGTGGTAACAAAAAATGGCCTAGAAACAATGCTTTCTGTATTCAGAGTAGCACAGGACTCAGCTCTTTCCATCTGTTATCTTAGCAAATCCTCACAGAAGCCCAGAGAAGTTAAACAGTCACCTAAAGTTGCTCAACCAGTAAATTGCAGCACAAGACCAGACTTGTCCCTGACTTTAAAGCCCAGGCTTTTTCCTGTTATGCTAAGTTACCCCATCAATGAGACTGTTGCCCTGCAACCTTAATTTATTAGTGGGATAAAGCCTCAAGTAGATTCATCACTTATAGTCAGTTCTCAGAAAATGAAAAACATTCTTCTTTAGAATTTACAGCTGCACTGTTGTCTTCACATGATTTCAACTGGAAGAGAAAGATTACTTCATTTTATTTGGTTCCAAAGCCCATGGGCAGACTGAAACTATTTAAGGTCTCAGCCCTCACAGGGTATTCAGTGACTCTATGAACCCTGTATTAATTTGCAAGACCACCATTAGCTCATACAATGCCTTGTGGTAATCAGAATCATAGGCCACCTAAGGGCAGACACAGTGTAGAAATATGTGCACTCCAATGGAACAATGAGAAAAATGCCCCGCTCCTTGCCCCTGCTGACTGCTGTAACCTCACCAAGGCAGTTAGTTGAAAAAGACTTTCAGCCAGGAATTTTCTTCTCTTAGTTGAGTACCATTGTGTAGCATGTAACATGCCTGTCAGTATATGTGGTCCTTCCTTGTATTACCTTCTGAATAACAAAACCATCCTTGGTCCAAAAGGTAGTGATCAGTAGTGGTCAGACTGTTCTATTGTCTATTCCCAGTGTCTTCCCATGTCTTCCAGGTAGTAAACAAAATTACTCTGTCCTAAGCTTTATTTGATATCACATGTAATTTTATTTTTTGTATGGGTGCTTCATCTACATACATGTGTGTGCACTGTGTATGTTCCTGGTGCCCGTGGAGGCCAGAAGAGGACATGGAATCCCCTGGGACTGGCAGTACATACAGTTGTGAGCCAATAAATGCGTGCTCCTAAATCAGAACCAAACTTTAAAAATATCAAATCGAAGCAGGAGATATGGCTCAGCATTTAAGAGCATTCACTGCTCTTGCAGAAGACTAGGGTTCATTTCTCAGCACTCATGTGGTGGCTCAGAACAATCTGTAACTCCAGTTCCATGGGACTTGACATCTTTTTCTGACATCTGTGAACACCAGGCATACACATATGCAGGCAAAACACTAAAAAATGTACAATACATGAATCCAAAAAGAGTATTTAAAATTGGTTCTGATTATCTTTTTTAATATGTCTTAAGATAACGATTGTCTAATGTACAAGTTAAAAACAAATCCTAATATTTCAAAGCCAAGCAAAACTGAAGTACTGTAATAAGGATGTCATTCCTTCTGTCTATACCGTCTCATTTCATAGGAATTTCATAAAGCCAGTCCTACAAATTTCTCTGGATCAGTCGCGTTTGTTAGCCCATGGCAAAGCAAATAGAAATAGTCAAGGGGAATATTTTGTCCTTTTAGTGGTATCTGTTTTCTCTTCTGTAATTAAACTACCACCTCCTGGCTCCATTTGACGTAGAAAAGCGAATTTCAGAAGACCAAGCCATTGAGAACTGAACCTAGTCAGCGATGACCTTAGATGACCTTGAGATGCCACACTTGCACATGATCCCTTGTTTTTCTCCTCCTGAGTTAATAGTTTAGCTTGGAGCGTGCTAAACTACATGGTTTTGTCAGCACCACACTTTACTTGGAAGGATCACTGAAAGCCACCCACGGTATACATTAACTCAGGAAGATAAAGACTGTTTTTCCTCAGGTGATTGTTGATGCCTTTAGTTTGAACTTTGTATAGAGTGATTGCTTTGAAACATTTTTCTCCAGCTAAGTTCCCTTCTTTCTCTCTCTCTCTTTCTCTTTCTTTCTTTCTTTCTTTCTTTCTTTTTTTCTTTCTTTCTTTCTTTCTTTCTCCCTTCCTCTCTCTCCCTCCGTCTCTCTGTCTCTGTCTCTGTCTCTGTCTCTCTCCTTTTCTCCTCTCCTTCTCTCCTTCTCTCTTTCTTTTTTTTTCCAAGTCAGGGTTTCTCTATGTATCTTTGGAGGCTGTCCTGGAACTTACTCTGTAGACCAGGCTGGCCTTGAACTCACAGAGATCCACCTGCCTCTGCCTCCCAAGTGCTGGGATTAAAGACCTGCACCACCAACTCTCAGCTCCAGCTAAGTTTCTTATGTTTGTAATTTCTACCCAGAGTCTACATTTTACTAGCATTGATAAACTATTAATTGCCATATTTAAGACAAGTCAATATTACTTGAAAGTACATATCTAAATTGTTTGATGCTAGACATGGGGTTGCTTGTTCTATTTCCCTACTTTTGTATAGTTCTGAATGTTTTCTTAATAAAATAATTCTTTAAAGAAGAAAAATTAAAAAGTGCTTCATCAGTCAAGGATTAGAGTACAAACAAGGGTTTCTTTTTGGAAGACTACTTATTAACGAAGACATTGGGTGTAATTTATACTCTTTAGTAGGGATGGACCATGTCAAATTGAAAAACCAAAACAAAACCTCTGTACTAGAAATTGATAAGGTCTCCACAAAGGACAGCCTCTTCCCACCTCTTGCCCTCCACCAGATGCCATAAGAAGCCTTGCTGTAGTGAGCTACTGGAAGTGGCATCTTACAAATCCTCCAGGCAATTAGGACCAGAGAGAGGTTGAGAACCACAGAAAGGACTTTCCACTCGTTGGTGAAACTGTTAGCAAGAAGGCAGAAAAACACAGGCAAATGGAAGCTAGAGGCAAGAGAGAGCTGAGAGTGTATGAGAGCTTTGCACTCAGTCCGTGAGTGCTGCGGAAGGCAGAGCTGCTATGGAAACAGGAGACCAGATTGGGGAGTATGAGACAGAGGATGTCATACCTATTTTTAAAAGATACTTTTTCCTACCTTAGTTACAGGTTTTTTTTTTTTTTGTTTTTTTTTGTTTTTTTTTTGCTTTTTCGAGACAGGGTTTCTCTACAGCTATGGAGCCTGTCCTGGAAACTCGCACTGTAGACCATGAAGTCACAGGGATCCACCTGCCTTTGCCTCCCTAGTGTTGGGTTTTTAAGAACAGGAAGGCCCATCTGAAAGCAAAGTATGTGAACACGCACATGTGTGTGAAAGTGCAAACATTTAAAGAAAAGGGTTATTACCACTCCGCTTAGAATGGCAGGTTCTACAAACATTGAAACAATGGTTTTGATCTATTTGTGGCAGTGCTTTACCATGTATATGGCTAGGCAAAT